CCCCCCTCCAGCCGCCTGTGACATGGCTGGAGTGGGAGATAATGAATGTGTGGTGTGTAATAACGACACGTCATTCATGATTATCGGCCTGATACCCAACCTTTTAGCTCCATTGTTTGTGCTTCAAAAAAGAAGAAAAAAAAAAAAAAAAAAGAAGAGGGGAAAAAAAAAAAGTCCTATTTGCATAAACCTCCCAAAAAGAGAAGCTGGAGCCTGAGCCTGGAGAGTCAGGGCAGCTGTGAGCACCAGGCAGGGACCACTAGAGCTGATAGGGAGTGTAATAAGTGATAGGGGAAATAGGGGAGCGTCGCCTGGACCAGGGCACAATTTGCCACCGGGTCCTTGCGTGTCCCCAAAGTGCTGCCCTGGGGCTCAACACCCCGTCCAGGAGTGACATTGGGACACTTTTTGCATTCAGGTCTTAAGAGGGCAGATTAATCGCCGTGTGCTGGATCTGTCACGCGCGGGGATATATATTCTTCTCGGAATTTACAAGTAGTTCTGTCTGAGAAATAAACAACCGGAGATAAAAATTACACTGTCACTGTGCAGGTGTGATCGATGGAAGAGACAAGCCCTCCGAGCACCAGCGAGGTGCCACTGGCACAACCCTCCCAGGGAGCACCGGCACCCGGGGCAGCCAGGAGATGCCTGAGGGGTCTGGGGAAAGGTGGTGGGATGTGCTCCATCAGCCCCCAGCCCATCATGTCCCAGTCCCAAAGGTCAGAGAAGGTAGGGATGAGCATTTCCAAGTGCAGAAGATGCCAAACCTCCGGGAAAAATGATGCTCGTGATGGGTGACCATAAGGAGCATCCATGAAGCAGCTGTGGGAAGGAAGCCACCCACGTCAGAGGGGCCACAGTCCCTGGGTCAGCTCCATGTAAAACCCCCCTAGGCCCCATTTTGAGCCCCAAACCCTCCTCTCCAGCGTGTTTCCAAGGTCAGCCAAGGATGGGCAGAAGGCAGAGCCGGGCAGGCAGCCCCCAGGGACCAAGGTGCGAGGAGGATTAATGTGTTTTCTGCTGGTCCCCTTTCGGAGGTGTCTCCTTCATCTTTCTCTGCTTCCCGTGGCTGCATTAGCTTTGGGCTGGCGTGTCCTGGAGCACATCACTCGCCTGGGTCACTGCTGCTCCCCGGGGAGCGACAGACAGCGGCTTACATCTGAAGTCGCACTGAAAGTGGTAAAAAAGCCTTGCAATGGATCCTCTGCCTGTCCTTTAGCATCCCGAGGAGCCAGGACCCGGCTGTAACCTGCCGGGATGGAGATCCCAAAACCAGCTCGGGCAGCCCGGCAGCCGGTCCCACAACTGCCTTCGGTCTATTAATAAACTCAGAGCAGCTGGTGGAGCCTCCGCCGAGCCGGTCCTCGGGATTTATCCACATTGCTCTGCCTTATCAGCCATGCTTTTCACAAGCACTTAAATTCAGGAGGAAAAGGAAAAAGTGAAATCAGATAGAAATGCAGGTCTGTTTGCTGTTTTCTCCAATGAAATGGTTCTGGGTAAACAGCAGACGCCTTTGATGAAATCCCAGCAGGCTTAAACAATAAAGCTGGTTACAAACTCAATCTGGCGCAGATATCAGATCTGAAATTGTTTCAAAAAACATGTCAACATTTTCTAATGCTGCTGCAAAACTTCCTCGGCACCTTGCCACAAGCCTGCGTCCGTGACGCAGGACGCACGCCGCTGTCACCGCTGGGCTTCCCATGCTGAGTCCTGTCCCCGCACCTCCCAGAGACCCCCGAGCTCAGTGTCACCTTGGAGACACCAGTCAGTCCCCAAGCCACCAGGGAAGGACCTTCCCTGCTCTGTGCTTGGGGTGCACCAGGTTGTTTTCCAGCTGTAAATCTGGACTGGGCTTCACATTGCTCCATCCCTGCATCCTCCGCACCCACCGGGGCAGGGGGAAGCTCGGCTGGGGCTCCTCATGGTGCTGGAGGTCTGGTGGAGCTGGGCAAGAGGTGTCAAGCAGGGCAGCTGTTCCTCTTGTCCCATCCTGGGGACAGCACTTGGCGACAGGTTCATCCCAGGTGCCACCAAGGACAATTGACTTTTCCACAGAAAACCAATTTGCAAAGCGCTAATGGTGGCAGAGAAGCGCAGGCAGATGCTCCTCTGGAGTTTTGCCTCCAGGTTGCCATCTCTGCATCCTGCTGGGAAACCGGCCACAGCCTGGGGCAGGATGAGGCCACTCGGGTGATGGGTCCATCCGATGGAATGCCTGTCCAGGGGCACAGCTTCGCCCCTCTCCTAAACACACTGCACAGTCTGCGGGGCACGATGGGGACTTTATCTGGCAGAGGTTGGCTGTGTCAGGGCCATAGGTGATTTGGCAGCTCCCATTAACGAGTGTCCCTCTGTCACCATTGGATCAGAGAAACGGGGACCATCCCAACTCGGCAATCACAGGGAGCCAGAGCGGGATGAGGCAGGTCCCACGTTGGCATCACTAGGGCAAGTCTGCCAGCTGCCCAGCACCGGTGCTTTCTGAACAGTGTCAGTGCCCAGGGTCTCTGGGGGACATCAGAGGACACAAGTCCCCAGTAGAATGATAGAATGGTTTGGGTTGGAAGGGACCTCAAAGATCATCTAGTTCCAACCCCCCTGCCCTGGGCAGGGACACCTCCCACTAGAGCAGGTTGCTCAAGGCCACATCCAGCTTGGCCTTGAACACTTCCAGGGATGGGGCAGCCACAGCTTCCCTGGGCAACCTGTTCCAGTGTCTCACCACCCTCAGAGTAAAAAATTTCTTCCTGAGATCTAATCTGAATCTTTTTCTTCCAATTTAAAACCGTTTCCCCTTGTCCTATCATTACCCTTCCTGGCAAAGAGTCCCTCCCCAGCTTTTCTATAGGCACCCTTCAGGTATTGAAAGGCTGCTATAAGGTCTCCCCGGAGCCTTCTCTTCTCCAGGCTGAACAATCCCAGCTCCCTCAGGTTCAGTAGGGACCGAGGTGAAGAGGCTGCTGAGGAGGAGGAGGCAGGTCTGGTCACACCATGAGCAGGGCAGCAATTAGGAAGCTGGAGCCAGCTTCAGGAGTCTCTGGGGTCCCCTTGGGCTCCACACCCCCACCCATGAAGAGTGAGGACTTTGCACGCCCCATCCTGCACCTCTGTGGAAGCCCCCAGCCTGGAGCTGATGCCCAAGACAGCTCATGTCCCATGTGGCAGCAGGACCAAGGATGGCTGCGCTGGAGCAGCAGATCCCTTGTCCCTCGTGGGAGCCGGAGAGGACAAAGGGGACACAAGAGAGGAAAAGCAGGACAGGAGAAGGAGGAGGAGGAGGGCAGGCAGCCCTGGGGGGCACGAGGGGCTGAGCCCTGGCTCCGGCGCAGTGTGGAGGGGGGGGCCGTGGAGGACCTGACCCCTCTGCGGAGGTTGTCTTGGCCATCGATCCCTGCTGCACTCAGGCTCATTAGGGCTGGGGAGCTGCTGCGAGCGGCTGGCGGAGGAGACAGACGGGGGGAGCGCTCGCCGTGGCTCCCTGGATCGTATTAAATATTTACTTTGTTTTGTTTTGTTTTTCCCAGCTATATTGATCAGAGATGGAGGAGGGGGGCGG